TATTTTGCAGGTTTTCATTTTCAAAAATAGTTCACGTCAGTTTAAACATTTCCTAAGCTTTGCGGAAATCATATCCAAAGTGGATGTTGATACCGAAGAACTGGAGCACTCTGAGCAACAAACTAAAAATTGCTTTAAAAACAAAAAAATTGCGGCCTGTACATGTTTTCAAACATAATCTATGTGGAGAGGAAATATGAATTACTGCCACGTGACGGATGACCTGAGCTGCAAGTTAAGTTCAGTTGACTATTCAAACTCTTTCAATTTTATGTCAAAAAGACAAAACGCTTTCAATTGTGTGTTTAGAAAACTCATAAGATTTGCAGCTGATCGGCATCCTTGTAGTATTTCAGTCGCGCAGAAATCTCTATTGACCGGCTTACAGAACGTAAGTGTTTTACATTATCCGTCACCCGAGATCAAACGCGAGCGTTTTTCCCGAAATCGCGGCTATACCAATCGCTCGACACTATGGCACGTCCGTCGCGAAATACCCTGTATATATATATATCCGCACAAACCTTTTGACATTGTTGACAGGACCCCGTAGCGACGCGAGGACTCTACGAGGTCCGTTCAAAGTAACCCGACGACTGGTAACTTTGCCGCGCTACGGCCTATACTTCTACGAACGTCGCAGTGTGTAAAAAAGACACTTACATTAAGGCATACGCGATGTATAGAAATTTCTTGAATAAGATATTTTATTTAGTATATTGACAATTTATTTACTCTATCGGCTTGTATTCTGTTACGGTCCTGGCGTACGAGTAACCCTTCTTGGCCAATGAGAGAAAACGTGCGACGCCGGTACCATGTGTTGTACACAAAAGAAGTTCCACGATATACAGGGCGTTCGCACTAATGCCCAGGATACGAAAACATTGTGGATTTGGTTTGTGGTTCTCCGTAAGGTGATCCGAATTATTACAGAGAAATTTTAGCAGCGTATAAGTAAAAAAGTTCATATAAACGATGTCCTAGCATGCTTCGTCTCGGAGATACAGGATTGGCACATATTAAAAAAAAGTTTTATCCTTATCTTTTGAATTCATTTTTTTTTCTAGAATTTATCTTCAGACTTAGCATGTATTACGGACAATAATTTGCAGCGTGAGCAGACCTGCATTTGCTTAAGCAGTGGCGTTCGTGAGACACTTTTTGTTTAGAAATGATCGGGGTATCTAAATTTAATAACAAAACTGTACTGGATTTTTGTATTACTTAAATCAATTAAAAAGGCCTAGCAAACGCCATTGGTTAAACGAGGTAAATTTTGATGTTTCTCCATTAGAATTCGGATCACCCTGTATGTAGTTATAATACGCCTCTCCGCTATATTTGTGCTCTAATTCATTTTCGGATTCGTGGGTTATTTTGTATGGTATTTTGGTAGTAGTTTACGGAAACAGATAATATTTATTGGTAAGTACATCCAAATATTTGCTTCATGTTTCAAGTAAATATCCTCTGGTATGTGTCAAAACATTTTTTTTACTGCTTCTAATTATTGTATGTTTTTTTTAAAGTGAGCAGAGTGTATCTACGAACAGTAACAAGAGCATCTTAGACCGAAGCTGTAATGTCAACAACCATGGTAAGAGTGATATGTGGTAAGATGGGAGTGGGCAAAGAGTATAGTATACCTTCAAGAACTCTGAGAAGACATCTAGCCACCAACAGTCTCACGAGATTCTTATATCGAAGTCTAGCTCTGAGTTCACACCAAAAGAAGACTTGAAAACTATAGCTTTTGCATTCGCCAAAAAGTGAAATATCAAAGGTGGGTTAAATGGAATTTTAAGGAAAATCCTCGACTGTCTATTAAAAATTTCTCGCTTGCACGATCTCAAGCGATGAATCGAAAAAAAAGTCAGGGATTACTCTCTTGCTTAAATCATCAACAAGAACCTGGATGGATAGAAACTTAGATAGGAACGAAGTATCTGTACTGATAGCAAAGGTTAATGTCTAATACCCCCGAACATTTCTTTAAATCAATAAATCTCGATGAAGCTTGTGCTACTGATGTTGAAGGTATCCTCAATGATTCCACACCAAATCCTCAGCCTGAAATAAAAGAAAATCCGTGACCATTTCAGAGCAATTACTCCTTTGTCAACTATTCCTATTAATACATTCGAAAAGAAGCAGTCCTCTATGACTTTATCATCTTTAGAGTTTAAGGTCAGATTCTATCTGATAAAAAGTCACTGCTCACAAGTTCCAGTTCTTGAAAAAACATATAAGGAAGGGGAAACCATCACTGCATCTTCAGAAGAGACTCCAGATATTGACGATACCGACTGCATTGAGTGTGGAACAAAATATTGTTCCACCAAATCCTGAGATGATTTTATCAGTGTATAGTTCATGACAAGGGGTTGAATGAAAGCTGCACGACGTACCTTAATATATCTAAAAGATGTGAATGTCAAAATAAACTTATGGAAAATAAAAAATAGCCTATTATTTTTATATACGTTTTTCTTTCATTTGAAATTTCGTTAGAAAAGCATTCTGTTGATGTTCGAGTAAATTCGTGATATAGTTATATCCTGCCCACTCATTTATTAATAAACGCCCAAGACACTTACGTTAATAGTTATTTCCGAAATGTGGGGCGTATTATACCACTTTGCCCCAGCTTCTAAAATTAATAAAAAATAAAAAGCTTCCCCCCTTTCTCCCGGGGATTGTTGCGACAGTTGATTGTTATCGGTTACTAGTTACGTGATTGTAAGGACGCGTCGGTTATTTGGAAGCAGTTTTGGCGGTTCGCTTCTCGCGGCACAGGACCGTACTCAGACCACGCGCCTCACATAATTTCATTTACGTTAATTTTTACGAGTTAATTATAAACAACGTACGGAATGTGTTTAGACAGGGTAAGTGTTATTTGGCATTCGGTTTCGTTAAATCAACGACATCATACACCCTAACAAATTAATTAAAGCTTTTCGTTTAGTTTAAACGTTAAAAAATCTACGTAAACTTAGAGACGTCGTTAGCTCAATAACGGGGGCCAGAGAAACGCGTTTCTGCTATCGATATAGAAAAATATGATTTTTTTTAAATAGTATCTCTCCCTAAATTTTTAATAACTTTTTTTTTATATGGCGGTTCTACTTTAAAATTCAGTCTGTGTGTCTGAGTGTATTCCGTAGCTTGAGTTGTTAGTCGGCTATGAGCTTGCGCCGATCGCTTTGTTTTTGAGGTCTTTCGCTATTTATGGCACTCGAGGACTGCGAACTGAACTGCTTCTTGTTCTCTTTTTCATTGCACTTTATAATTCTTAAAATGCGTTGAACAATATAGAAAAGAATAATTGATCATGGATTAACAAACTTAGAGGTGGAGTGTACAGAGACGTCATTTTAGGTGTATCACTCGGTATAGAATCTTCCTTATTTGCTATTTTCTAATATTAAAAGACATTTTCCATTAAACTTGTCAAGTGTCAAACACAACGCTTGTGGACATTTTCAATTTAAGTTTTCTAAACCATATTGCCTGAAATTGATTACAAAAACTATTGAAAACCTATTTGCTGGCAAGAAACAGATTGTGCTAGACCGGCTAGGCTTCAAACCAACTTTCAGAGTCGTTGATTATTATTTACTGTGAGCTGATTTTTGAATCAAAAATTTATCAATGAAGAAAAGTTCGAGATGTTTATTATTTATCTTTCAAGTGAAATATGGGAGGGTTCATTTATATGGAAAATGAAGACAGCGTTGACATTTGACAGATATTCGACTGCCTCGCAAAATATGTGTTTTCAAATTTCATCATAGCAACAATATTTCGAGGCAAAATATTTTGATGCTTAATTAAAAACGGTTTCTAACTTTACAAAATTTTGATTAGTTACGGAGATATCCAGAGAAACCGGAAATTAGCAATTTCTTTTGAATTAAGTTTCAAGTATGACATTTCAGTTTCGTGTACGCATCATCACCTTCATTTTTTTAAATAAAAAAAAGTGAGTATAAAACAAAAAATTTATGTCAAACAGCCTTGACAAAGTTGTTAATTGTTAAAGTACCAGCTACTTTTTACTGTTGTATGCAATTAGAAATTTTTAAGTAAAAGATGTATTTTTCAATGTGGAAAAACGCGATATGTTACATATTTATTATAATTCACAGAAAATGGCAACAGACGGCATTCAATTTGAACATCTTACATGTTTTTAAGCTGAATTATCACCTACATTATCGGATCAAAGAAATGTTATATCTTTAATATTAATTTAATAAGTGTGTTCTCAGGTCTTCTCAGTTGAGAGAATATTTTATTACATTTATTTTAAAGGCGCATTTTCTTCTACTGTTTTTACGTATTTAACAAATACGTCAAGACGATTTCACATAATAATGCTTTTGTTTCATGGCTACTTAATTTTTTGTGTAAATTGGGCTTTACTGTCGATTTAATTTAATAATGTCAACTTTTAGGAGAGAAAAAGTTGCGATGAGAAAGTGTCATTTTGATTTTTTTTTAAATAAGACCATGAAAAAATTAAAATGAAACTTCTGATTTTTAGGTTTTCCCGAATATTTCCAAAAGTAACAAGATATTTGTGGATGTTGTCACGGTTTTAAATTAAGTGTCCAAATATGAGGTTTTCAAATAAGACGTTCCTTGACGCCTTTTTACTGTATAGACAGTGAGAGCAGCTCCATCACCAGCAAGAACCTACAAATACTTAGCCATATTCTAGACCATATGACTAACTCACCAAATGTACGGCAGCGGAGAGTCTAGTAGAAGAAACAGGACCTCTAATTTTGTCTTACCAACCGAAATTTTAAAGGAAAAAATTCTATAAGACCTGACGTTCGCAGTCTTCAAGTGCCCAGCGACATCACCATCCCAAACGTGCGAAACCTCTATAGTACGCTTACATGATTAAGAAAAAATGGCACAGACAGTAATTGTTTGCGGCATCGATAACCCCATCAGCCCCTGCCCGCCCGCCCCCTCAACCATTCGTCAACAAACCAAAGCACCAGACTTGCCCGTTTTTCTTCGACGACAACTTTTCCTCGTCACCTATCCACTACGTATGGAGATCATCTTCAGGTATGGTCGACTCTTCTTTCTCTGCTTCATCTCTATCGACGCTATCCTCGTCGACGGCGCCCGGCATCAGCGGCGCCGTCGCGATCTCGTCGATTTGTATAAAAACTATCCTAGGCGACTCGTCGTTCGCCAAATCACAGTCGTCTTGTATTAACAGAAAACAATCGCCGATCGGCAGGTGATCGGCGTTGGCCAATTCTCACAGACCGCCGCCCCCCAAGCTTCCGATCCCGTTGTCGTCTGTCGAGCCGCCGCTGGTCACCGTGTGACTGGGCATATGATGGGGGTGCATGTGATGGTGGTGGTGGTGGTGCTGGTGAGCGTGATGTGATGTGGACGGAGAGGATTGCACGAGGGAGGGGGAAGAACTGGAGGTCGTGCTGATGGCGGCTGACGATGAACCGCCGCCGCCGGAGAGCTTACTTTCTTTCTTCATTCGTTGCTTGAGGTGGACCTGGAACAAGGAGACGGTCATTACGTAAATAAAAGATAGTGTCATTTGAATATATGCTGCAAGAGAATCGTTTTACGAATATATGAAGGAAAAATTAATTATTGGACAGTTCCACATTCGCGTTCTACATATTGAAATATACAAAAGCTGTCTGAAAAGACACCAGCCATCGTTTACTATACCACTCCTGAAACTTTAACATAGCAATGAAAAACATTCGGTGATAATTTAAAGTTTTTAATGAAAAAAATGTCCTGCAGATCTTGTAAAAACGTCAGGGGCCAGGGAAGCTGCCATTTTGAGGACAGTGGAGTTAACCTGTTCCAAGGTAACCTATCCTTGATGTCAATCTTTTCTTCTAGGTTTATTAGTGGCCATTCGCCTTGGACCAGAGATAATTTCAAATTCACGTGACAAAGCGCACCAAAACCGAGCAAAATTGAACTTGCTACAAAGATTTGCGTAATTACAAGTTTGAAAGGGGGTTTCCTGAATTCTGGACTACAAATGTATGGCTTAACACTGATTTTAAGCCAGCCGGTGATCCAGGGCTAGCTGCAGTGTTTAGTGCTATAGTTCTAACAAAATCATATATATATATATATATATATATATATATATATATATATATATATATATATATATATATATATATATATATATATATATATATATATATATATATATATATATATATATATTCTGCTTCTTCTTCTCAGAGTTTCATCTTCTACCGTAGGTTGGAAATCATCATGCCAATGCGGACCTTGTTGACAGACGCTCTAAATAACTCAGTGCTGCTGCAACAGAATCAGTCTCGCAAATTTCTCAGCCAGGATCTTCCTCTGTATAACAATCTCATCATCGTCTCATCATTAGATGTCCTAGGTATGCAAGTTTTCTCTTTTTATAAACCTCAACGTTTGAGATCCTTTCTATCCACGACATCTTCAAACTCCTTCTGTAACATCAGAGCTGCGGACTTGGATAATTATCGAAATAAGATGCTGATGATGTACATAACTTTAATGCTCATTTAGGATAGTGCATTTCAATACTTTTGAGAATCAAATTAATAATTATCTAAATTGTTTACAAACATTCTCATTTAAACAGGGATTGATTTTAATACAAACAAAAGACAGCTTACGATATTTGCAAGAATTATAGTAAGGTAAGCTAAAATGTAGGGGTTTTATTTGACAGCAGCTTAAGATTCTGCAGCTTAAGGTGCTGCATATGCATAGTATGCAACACATTTGGTGTATTAAATACTCGTTCCACTCGTGCAAAATAAATTCGTGGCTCAAATGCCGTTTACCACATCCTACGCGCAATAGGCACAACTTTAGTGTCACGCACAATCACGAATTTATCAAAAAGACATATAATTATCTTGGTCGGGAATATTTCAACATATTTCCAAAAACCATTAGTGGAATTTTTATTTGCCGGGTGTTTGCTTACTTTTGTTTCTTATACCTTAATTAATTGATGTCTTATACATTTATTACATTTATTGTATACATATTGTCGTACTTTGTTGGGTTCTCGGAGAACGCGTCTGAACTCATTAAAAGCTTTTTGGGAAATATACTTTAATTTGCAAAAACTAGTAAAAAATATCTTCCAGAGAAATATCAACTTGTGGGGTACTCAAGGCTCAATTTTGGGGTAGATCCTAGGGTACTGTACGTAAATGATACATAGCTTTTTATTTTCTTTCCACCTAATGAAGCATCAGCTGCCCAAGACAGGTTAAATCAAGATATCACATTAATAAATATATATAGAAAGCATATGGAAATTAAAAAAAATATATTTCCAGGTCGTCACTTATTTTCGAAAAAATTAAAAACTACTTCATCTGACTCTTTCATTTTGAGTCAGTTTAATTTTTGTGACGAAGTTTACGGACCATATTTGGATAAAACAGATAAACACAGTATTCAGAGGCTACAAAAATCTAGTCCACGATTTATAGGTGGTATACGCAGAAGGATGCCAGTATCACATAAATTAGGGGAAACTAAATTTTGATCTATGGAAAATCGACGTAAATTGCGTTCTGCAGTTTTGGTTCATAGTATTCTATACAATTAATATCAATAGTAAATACGGTTAAATACAGAACCGACGTTCATAATTTAAATTTAAGATTTCAGGTTTATATCTCGCCTCCTCTTCACTGCTTTGTGAAAGGTCGTTTTCTTATAACCTATATATACGACACAACAGTGTTACTATAAAATGTAAGTCCTTGATTGTCAATTCTATCAAAAAGAAATACAGTATCTCCTGGATGATGGGTAATGCGGTGGTTTATATCCTAAATAAAATCTTTATGTTTGTTTTTCTCTCTCGACCACTACTGTTGTTAATTAAAAATCTAATATTAGTAACAATTCTTATTTAACTGTAAATATGTAATTTTGCTCTCTTTTTTCTTATTTTTTCCTGATTATACACATGTTTGGAGCTGAACTTTGACAAATTCTAAATGGTCTTTAGTCCCTTTTTGCAGATAATTGCGAGCGTCACTTGAGAAGTTTCCGAGCTCTCCCTGAAGATGGCGTCACTTATTACTAAAAGCTAGTGTTCTTAGTTGTGAACCTCTTGATTGCGACTTACCAAAGTCTCAACCATTTTAAGGCGCGGTTTTTAGTTGAGCATCATTTGAGTGAGTCGATGTGAGTATTTTTGTCAAAATTGATTATAGAAACTAGTTGCTTATTAAAGTTGAGTTCGACTCTGTGTATATGGACTCCGCACCGTTATTTAACACAGTGAAATTTTGGGCAGCTGAATTTAAACGTGCTTAATAGATGATGAACGTTCTGGACGTCCAAAACTGTAACTACAGACAATAACATTCCTAAATTTCATTAAATTGGACTGCGGAAGGGGAACCGACTCCGAAAAAAGTAAAAACTGTTTTTTCAACCGGGAAAATGATGGCGACTGTTTTTTGGGGTAGCCATAGAGTCATCTTAATCGATTACCTTCAAAAATGCAAAAAAAACCGCTTTATACCTCGGTGGTTGCCAAGAGGAAAATGTACGAATTACGATTTGAACTGCTTGACCATCCGCCTTACTCGCCAGATCTAGTATCAAGCGATTTCTTTAAGTTCCCTCGTCTGAAAACTGGAGGACAAAGATTTTTGTCAAATGAGGGATTCACCTTATTTTTCGGAGAAAAAAAATGAAAAAAAATGTCTCGCATCATTGTTCGATCGAAAACTTTTCAAGTGACCATGGTATAATTTTGTATACCAAATATTTATTTACGATTTACTTATTATTATTAAATAATTATACATTATACAGTATTATCTATTACCTGTTATACAGTCGTGTATATTAATGCGGAAGCCACAAAGTTCGGTGAATATTTGCCGATCATCCCAACTTTCAACCCTAATGCAGAAATGAATAAAAAAAACCGCTGCCAGTAAAAAAATTTCACACGAAAATCGATAGACGCAGTATTAACCTCAATCCTTAGCCATTGGCGTTAATTGAAATTTATAACTCGGGGGGCACTTGATAGGTGAAACTCGCGCCAGTGGCGTCGGCAGTAAAGCGGCCTCGGAAAAAAAAGCGCTTCCAATCTCGCCGATGCAAAGCTGCGCGACCAGAAATACCGGAAACCCATGCGCAAGCGAGAAAAATACGGGCACAGCTCTTATTTACTCGCAACGAGACGCGACCCTAATTGTAATCTAACTGATCAACACGGTAGCCGAGTAAAAACCAAATTTATGCGCGGTATTAATTTAGAACCCCGCAGCAGTCCGAATAGTAATTCCAGGTTACATAAATTCCGAATCCAATAACCATATTCATAGGACCGAATGCTTGTAAAAGCTCTCCATCGCCACGGGAATTAAAATATCTTAGATCGGAGCTTTCGGCACGTCTCGATGTTTACCCGCAGATTTCCGCTCTCGCTTCTCTTCTGCGTCGCATTTTTTTATTACCTTTTAAGGGACTCTGATAAATAGAAAAGTATTGTTAGGATCGGTTCGGTATTAATCATCAATAGGAAATGCTCGACGTGATAGAAAAATTGAATGAATTAATTTTGACGAAATAGTTATACTTGAACCCCAATCAGCTACCAACTACAGCTAATAAATATAGATAAGTATTGATAAATCGGACAAAATTTATAATGTTTGAGTTATAAGATTTATAGAGAGCTAGCGATTTGTTAAAAATAGTCCTTCATCTGATTTTTGCTCTCTAAAATTAATGAATGAATGAATTTAGTCGAAATAGTTACACTTCAAGCATAATCAGCTACGAAGTACAGTTAATAAATACAGAGAGCTATTGAGAAATCAGATAACATTATAATGTTTGAGTTAGAAGATTTCTGGACAGCTGCCGATTTGTTAAAAATAATTATACTTGAGTCCAATTAGCTACTAAGCCAAGTTAATAATTATTATTGACTTAGAAGTTTTCTTGTTCTTTATCTATTTTCATCTATATCAGGAGTGAAGGGTACTTCCATAAAATTTTAATTTGGGTGAAATGCTTATGCCTAAAGCCCAAATACAGTTGATAATTATTTTAATTTTGTTCAAAATGCTGCCTCATCTATTTTTTGCTCATAAACAGGAAAAAGGAAGAGAACGTCTATCTGCATTTGAATGAAATAGTTATACTTGATGTCCAATCAGCTGCCAATTACAGTTGATAAACATTAAAAAGTATTGATAAGTGGTATAAAATAGTAATGTTTGTAATAGAAGTGTTTTAAAGGTCTAGCGATTTGTGAATATTGGTTCCTCATCTATTTTTACTCATAAACATGAAGAAGGAAGGGAAAATTTTAATATGTACTTAATAATTGTGCTTGAAACCGAATCATCTACCAGTTCAGTTAATAAATATAAAAAAGTATTGATAAATCGGATGCAATTATAATGATTGAGTTAGAAGTTTTCTCAAGAGCTAGCGATTTGTAGAAAATATATTTTATGCTCACAAACCTAAATTCTCATTTTTTTAATTCGGAGGAAACTTATGCCAGAAGCCAACTCAGATTCTAATTACAGGTGATAAATATAGAAAAACAGTCATAAATCCGATAAAATAAGAAGAAAGGGAAATTTTGCAACATTTTTATTTTTAAATCCCAAACAGATATCAATTACAATTGAAAAATGTAGAAAAGTATCGATAAATCAGACAAAATTTTAATGTGTGTGATTAAAGTTTTTCTAGAAAAATAAGAAATGTTTAATCTCTGCCCCCAGTGCGATGGACAGTGCTCCAAAACTTTCATGTCCATGAAATACTCAAGAGGGCTTGGTTGAAGCCCCCACCATCAGCCATCAGTTAAGAGGACTTCCATAAAGTCTAATAGGTAGTAGAGGAATTATATTTTTTCCTCATCATCCTTTTTAGAACAATGGAAAAATCCGCAAAATTGCAATTCTTCTGTATTATTTAGAAAAACCTTGATGATCGCCGTCAATTTTGTAGGAAAATATTTCAAGTGAAAATAGATCACTCGTCAATCATTCAGTCACTTTTCATTGAAGAATCACTCATGGCTCATTCGTTTCGGTATATTTCTCATAAAAATAGATGTTTCTTTAGAAAACTTTGTTGGCTAAATAAAATTGCTTGTCGACTTTACTGACAGCGATCTCCTCTTTCTTTTCTGTTCTGGCAACAATATCGGGATATTTTCGTCAATCTAAAGCTTTTCATTTTCACTTTGAAAATGTCGCAAAGTGTAGTCCCCCATCTTTATTGAAGTGTTCAGTATTCTTCTTTACGACTGAAACTGATAGTTCGATTTGTGTCGGATTCAAATAACAACGGTTATGAATTTTAGGTCAATGTAGTTTATGCTCCCGGACTATTTATATCCACGCCTTCATCCTTGGCTGACTGAAAAAAGGAGGCGTAGCATAATAGTATTATTGCACACCGCTGTTAAATTCTTCGCAATTAATCAACGTCCGTGGACCGCATTTGTTATAGATGGCTGTAGGTTAGGCTCGTGTTGGGACGACATTTTTATAGACGTATCATTATCGGAATGTCTTTCCGAGCGATCGGGATACGATGGACTTGTAGTTTCGAGTTCGTTCCTCTTCAAATATTGGGAAGAGACTGTTTATTAAAATTTGAAACCATTTTAAAGACTATTTTATCCAAATCTTAAAATATTTACTTTTAAACCAGTATGACCCATACTGAAGTTATTATTTCCTATTGCAACAGTTTTAAGTGGTATTTAAAACGAGGCTTGGAGTTGGTCATTAATTTTGGTAAAATCGATAGATAAATTAAATTAATAACGAAAACGTTAATTCAACTTCCTTTTGTGTTTGATTATAACAAAACTCAGCCTGTTTGCTGTTATTAATCGACATCATTATTTAACGAAAGAAATAATTAAATTTGGCTCAAAAGCAGATTTTTACCTAGGTGTGTATTAAATGCAAAGATTGTTGTAAATACTTCAAAACAATTACGACTTTCAAACTAATGATTTCTAAATTAATGATAATTAATTATTTGATTTTAAACAATCGGAAATATGGGTCACTAAATAAAAAAATTAAATTTTATGGTTTTAATCACACTTCAATTGAGGTTCTAGGTTAAATATAATATCAAGAAATACCGTTGGTTAATAATTTTTTTTCAGCATTGTTTGCAAAAATGTCAAACAAGAGCACAGGTATTTGTAGTCTAAGTTCCCTTTAAGTATCCTGAACCTTTAAAAAATAATAAAAATAACGACTTTGGGTGCCTATTTTAAAAACCCGGATCTTCTGGAGGATACGTTTTTTGAAACGATCGTAGGCATTTTAACGTCCTTTACAAACCTAAGGCACCATACAAAAATCGTGGCGTTTCATTGGTTTATACGTTTGAAACTATGGGATACCATGGATATGGCACCACTAATACACGGAATATTTTTGGCAATTGATGGTGTTCTTATGTTTTGTCGGATCTTATTTGCTATTCAACGATTTATTAGTTCGAGTTGGATAGTAAGTGGCTAAGTGCATTTTTCTTCTGTCCAAATTACGAAAAAGATTTTGGTTGTTGTTTAACTGACCCAAACAGTGAGAAGAAATTTAGAATTTATGAGAGACTTTAATGCAATTGGCAAAAATTCAAGCACCCAGTAGAATGCCAGAAGGTCCCAGGGGATAAAAGTAATTTCTTCGTAAGCAGCAAGTTTTGCAACCACTGCTTAAGAAATATTAACATGGGAAGTCTAAGAAGAAGAGACTCTAATCGATCACAATTACATTCTGTTCAACCTTAACGCCAACAGCCAGACGGAAAAAAGGAAGAAGCAAACGTGGGCCTATGGGAAAGTAGACTAGGACACTTTTCTATCACAAATTATCTACGATAACGTAAAGATCCTGTCAGAAATCACTCTCGAGGTCTAGAATAGATCAAGAACAAAAGTGAGATGCGATCCATTACCCCATATGCTATAGAGCTTAACCCACAAAAAAAGCGCTATTCGCAAAATATCTACAAGTGAAAAGGCAAACCAGAGAACCAAACGGTGGGGCAAAACAAGAACTAGTACTGGAGAGCATCATGTTTGTTCCAACTAGAAACCGATACAGAAGTCAAAAACTAGGTCAGCTCCTAGCCATAGAATGCTTCCTAGACTGGAAACAATCCAAAGAAGCGTGGTTTTGTTAAGTATACTCGGGCGTGCACCTAGCAAACCTAGTAATCCCATATTACCAGGGCCTATTTTCGTGGCATAGCATTAGGCCATTTGTTTCAAATATAAACATTCGTCTTTACTCGATAATCGTGTAAAACTGTGAAAATGTTAAAATGCCACCCGTAGAAGGAAAACGTCCTCAAACCAAACGATTTTGAAGCAAATAATTAAGAAAAAACGCTTGCCCACTTTTTCCTGTCCAAAATGTCGCAAACAGTTTCGTTTACAAACCTCACCTTTGCGTGCCTCTTCTTTTCGTCGCTCCTGGCGAACTTCCTGCCGCAGACGTCGCAGGAAAACGGCTTCTCTCCCGTATGCGTGCGTATATGCGTCGTGAGATGGTCGGACCTCGAAAAGCTGCGCATACAGATCCGGCATTGGAACGGTTTTTGTCCGGTGTGGATCCTGATATGCCTGGTCAACTCGTCCGACCTCGAAAATCGCCTGTCGCAATTCTCGACAGGACACGCGTACGGCCTTTCGTGTACCGGAGTCTTGCTGGGCCTGTTGGGGTACTTTCTCGGTTTCACCGGTACCAATTTGAGCGGTACCGGACTTTGTTGGTACACTTGGGACAAGATTTCGTGACCCTTGGACGTGGAAGGGTTGTACTCGGCGAGCTGAACGGTACCGTACGGTGATCCACCTTGCTGCATCTCCGCACCGCACGACGATGTGAATGGTTCTTGTTTTGGCACTAAAGAACTGGGTCCCGGAACCACCGAGCCCTGCGAAGAGCCATAGTCTTGCGTTTCCCACTGATACTTCGTCGAGGACACTAAAGGCTGAGCCACACGCGAGTACACCAAGTCGGGCTGCTGCATTTCCAATTGCAACGACGTGCTGGTACAGCTCGGATAACTGGGTGGCTGTTTCAACGTTAAACTAGGGCTGCACTCCATGGTGAGCATTAATTGATCGGTATTCCTGTCGTCGTACTGGGTACCGGCGGGAGAAGGTGTAGCCGATGGGTACTGTTGGGGACTCTGACTTGTCCCTTGCAACAGTCCAAACATCGAAGGGTAAATAGGTTTATCACCGCTCGATAGCAACCATTGATTTACTGCCGAAGGACTGTGTCCCATGTTTTGGCTGCTCAGTCCCAAAGGGCTCTGGGGCTGCATGTGGATTGTACTTTGCATACTGGGCGACCCGGCTGAGGTGTACACTCCCCTGTGCTGGATCTTACCCATGTTGTTACTCGTCGACGAGTGATGGGGATACATCGTGCTTAACGCGCTGTTGCTGTTCTCCTCTTTGGGTGAGAGCGCTGATGCTTGAGGCGTCACCCTGTCCGCTAAATGGGTGCTCGAAGGTGACTGATGGGGCGAGTTTCGACTCTGCTGGGGATCGATTGATGTGAGCTCTTCCGGGTCTAAGGTACCTGCAATGCAAACTGGTTGTTAGTTGGGATCTTTTGTTTCTAGTGGTGGAAATAGGTGCTTCAGTCGGGTGAGGTGGTTGTCTGCGGTTTATGGTTAAATGTTAATATCGGTGGAATTTTACCGGAACGAATTTGCCATTTCATTTAGGTTAGTTTTTAGTTGCTCCAGTGGTGTTATGGAACATGCTGTGCCATGGTTTTCTTAGTTTGACTAAAAAAAAAATTATTTATGAAATTTTTTATACCGGTATTGATCTAAGTTTGATATCTGTTGACCAGGTTAACACTACTTCAAGAATCTGCTAAACGCAGAAATTTTAATTGATTCAGATTATATTGCTGAGAATATAATTCCCATGTTGCATCTGCTGAAGTATCTTCTAATAATGATGATGGTTGAGAAAAAATCATACACAACATCCACAAATGTTTGTTTCTTCGATCAAAACCGTATTTGAGATCGATATGTATCATTTTGTAAAATGATTTCATTAAATCAGCCTGATATTCTACATAGACAGATTTGCAGCCCATTTTGCTCAACAACTGCATGAATATTTAATTACGGTATTTTTTGAATAGTGAAGATCTCCAGAAATTACTTCACTGGATTTTTTCCTCTGGACATATTTAAAATCCAAATAAAAAGTAGATGACATAAAATTTCAAATTAAATAAGATATCCTGGGCAATGTTTGGAAGGATTTCTAAACCGATTCACTTTCCTTGTGGACAAGGAGATGTGATGTATAACTATTTAAGAACTTCACTGGTAATAGCTACTTACCTGTTCAATTCAAAACTAAATTTCTGTTTTTTTATTCTGTTGCTTATAAAAAGTAAGAGATAAGCATAGGGTTATGCTACATAAATTATTCATAAACTTAGGATCGACATTTATTTTTCGACCAACCTTGTATATTTTCGGTTTACTACAAAAAATGCGCAAGAAAAAACAGTTTTTTGATTTTTTTTTCTGTGTATTCTCGTTTGAACGGTACGGAAAAAAGCCCATAGCCTTATAAACGAAGAGGGTCCAGATTTTAACGCGGGAACAGGTGCAAACAAACGAATTCGCCGCGATACTCGCCAGCCAACTTTATTAATATCCCGACGACGATGCCAGAGAGTCGAAAAACAACGCAACAGTTTTACGCAGGGTTAAATTTAGACGTTTAACTTTCCAAGGCGAGAGAGCCTGACGTGTGTGTGTGTGTGTGTGTGTGTTTTTCTCGCCAGCGTTTATGCTGATTCCTCGCTCCTCGAATAACTGGTAACATTCCGTCACTTTGGGTTCTTTTTTTCTCCGCGCCACGTCGACTTGCATTTTTTAAAAGGTCGAAGAGTACCGCGCGAAATGGCCGAGATCGTTGTGTCAGGAAGAAAAGATGCCTGAGGAATATTATTTGCATTAGTGCAAAAATGCGCCTAACAACGATAGCGTCCTGGGACGTTCTAAATGAGCAATGCTAAAACATATTCACCGAATAAGCTTCCTTAAAAATGTAGATGTTCCTGCATAGAAGACCAAAATGTAGCAGGAACACAACGAGAAAAACATATTATCCAAAAAATACTCCAAAGAAAGATTTTGTGTAGAAGCTGCTGACCATTATTGACGAACTGACAAAACTACAATATCTTACGAGGTGCCTCACTAAATATTAATCCTACTAGGAGCGTCTACCGACTCGTTGGAACTGTAGAATTGTTGAGTCATAATAAAACATCTCAAGATGGAGTTATCTGTATATATTGCTAATGAGAAAATGTAGTAAAACATCGGGAAGAACATATTATCCAAAAGGTACTCCAAAGAAAGGTTTTGTGGAGAGGTTACTGATCATTATCGAAGAATCGACAAAATTGTAAGGATTTTACACCATCTTTGGACTCGTGGGAACTAAAGAATTATTGAATCATGAGAAAAGACCTGAAGATGAATTTCTATCCATACTCGTAATGAGAAAATGAGGTTATCTCTCCATGTTCCTGCATAACATATCGGGAAGAATATATTATTCAAAAAGTATCCGAAAGAAAGACTTTGTGGAGAGACGACTGGCCATTATTGAAGAATCGATAAAACCATAAGGATTTTACAAAGCTCGTCACACTACTGGGCAGGTCTACAGACTCATGGGAACCATAGAGTTATTGAATCATGAGAAAACATCTGAAGATTAACTTATCTGGGCACGTTCCGGTATGTAATACGAAATGTAGTATTAACATGTAGGGAAGAAAATATCATTAGTTCCAAAAAACGACTTTGTGGAACCTTATAAGGAGGAAATCATCCCGAAATGAAGTATACATTGTCAATACAAAAATTTGCAATTTAGAAGTTATGGCTAAGTTTTCTGCAACAACTGGTGCAATTTATTTTAAATCACACTAAACCTAAATAATATCCCATTCTAAATTTTCTTTAAACATTAGATAAGTAAATTCAATATAAAATCAACAAGTAATGCAACTAAATAGAACTTACTACTAATTGCAAATCATTTTCGATATGACCTCCATCTTCGGCAATACAAGTACAAACCCAATAAAAGTGCTAAATATATGGTGTTATCATAAAAAACAGTTTTTAATGGTCATTTGTGAGTACCCCGCGTAATATATAGATAGGACCAAGCATTAAATATTAACCACTTTCATGGATCAATAACCAAAATTCTCGATTTTTATTTTATGTATGTGTAAAAAATATATTTTTCCAAATACCGTAAAAAATGGAAAAGTTCATTTTTTTCAAAAACTACTTCAAATTACATATGTAACGTTATGACAAAAATACTCAAAATAGAATAGAATAGAATTTTTTAAAATATTCACAATATTCCAGTTAAAAGAATAAAGTTGGTTACTGTCCTTCTTACCATTCAAGAGCTAGAAGTGAATGCTGATTCAACTATGTATTACAACTGGCTGCGTCGAAGTGAGATTTCAATCAATGCAAATAAGACAGTATATATATTTATAAAGCAGAAATCTAAATTAGGACGTGATATAAATATATATATTTAAACAAAGAAGTTAGTTATATATTTAAGCAGCATTGTAAAAAGTGGGAGCAATAAGAAGGTATGGTAAATCCTTGACTACGCTTGTATAACTGTCTTATTCTATCTTAAAAAACTCCTTTAGTAGAACCGCGAAAGCGCAAAAGTCTTCACTATTTAGAAGACTTTGAATAGGCTACCATAAAACATAAAATAGATTCTGCTATAACCTGAAAGTATATTTACAGTCTCTTTAAATAAGAATTTTCGCATTCCGCCATGTCCCAATTCGTTTTGGCCCGAACCTAACCAAATCGCGTACCTCTAAAAATAGCCGTTATCCCACACCTGAAACGCTGACCTCTCGAGTACCGACCGCTTGATTGCCGAATTTCCTCCGGAACGTCCGCAAAAACGAAACGGTCGGCAGGGGGGGGGGGGCAACAAGTGCGAACATCTGTTTAAATCACGTAGGCGTCGATATTCGACGCCGGGCGTTTTCAAGGCCCGCTGCGACAGCGAAAAGGCCAAAGCGCGTTGTCGCCTGCGCATGGAACGCGATCGATAACCGGGGGTCCCATTCAAATGTTCCGTGCCCATTCATGGGGAATTTACTATGAATCGACTCTGAACATGGCGCCCTGGAAATCAAGTGCGACGCGGTTAGGCAGGCAAAGGTTCAGCGGCTCTCGGCGACCATCATCGGCGTCGTCGTGGGCGGCCGCGGAAAATCGATGCTCAACTTAAAGCGCATATATCGTTAAGTGCGCGTAGTTGCACGAGGCATACGTTTCGGTAGGATGACGTGCGTTCTTTGCGGTCGAGGATGTCGCGCGTTTACGTGAGATGATCACGTTGACCTTGGATGGGAAATCCTTTTCGGATTACATAAAATAGTACAGCGTTCTGGGGTGGAGCAATAAATAAAATTCACGCGTTCTTTCCTACGCAAAATTGATCCAAATGCAGTAGCAGTGATTTTTATATAATAATAATAATAATAGAATACAATAAAACTTTATAAACCAATCAGATAAGTTAGGCAACAACGTCCGAAATGAAAAAACATCGATATTATAGGAAAATCTAATAATAAGATCCCATAAAATACAAGAGTTCATTATAGCGTTGTACGACTAAGTAGCTCCGAATATTCATTAGCGTCATAAAAGACATTCCGTGCAAAAAAGTTTTTCATTTTTATTTTAATTTACTTAAAAGGTAGGTTGTTAAGATTCGAATTCTTGAACAAACGTCGGGAAGAACTATGGGTTCTCCATTATCAGCAGTCATTGTGATTACATTTTTTGAGCTTTGAGAAGAAAGCCTTCGATTTAAAACCAAAATTATTGAAACTCCAAATTGAGGATACTATCGTTTTTTGGCCTGATGGTCAGGAATCTTACTAGATCTTCTCAGCCATTTAAACGCTTATCACCCTAACATACCATTGAATTAGAGACTAATAATAATCTCCCATTCTTAGATATTTTTGTCAATAGAATATCAGACCTAACAGTGGCTCATTCTGATTACAGGAAACCAACGCACTTGTTTGTAGAGCAGTAAAACTACCTCAACTGGATTTTCTGAACCCAGAATTAAAACACCTTACATCGGTTCTTCTCTTTAATAATTTCCGCTTTAGAGATAATAAACGTTCCATCAAAAAATATTCTGCAGCACAATCTTGCAGAGACAATGAGTGCGAAAGCAACCCCACACTTTTCACCGTTATCCTTCCTTATTGATCACACATCAAAAGTTCTTAAAAAATATAACATTTACCACTTCTCTCTGTTGTCGTTCCTATTAGTACGCTGGCACAGCTCAAAGCAGGCTATTCGGAGAACCGCCGGCGTTAGATAATAGCTAAGAAGAGCAAGTCAGAATACGCGTCGAGATGGTGTTGCCGAAACTTTTCCTATCTATAACAAATCCCAAGAGTTTTTAGTTCATGAAGTACGAAATTATTTACAGAAAACCATT